GCTGCACCGGACGGCGAGCTCGGTCGATGGGGCCGCGCGGAGGAGCGGAAGTCTGCGGGCAGGTTTATTGCTGTCGTTTGGCGCCCTCGTCTGTTTTCTTAAATGCTGTAACGGGGCTAGCATCTTTCCCCTTGGTTTTCTTTTTTTTTCTTTTTTTTTTCTTCTTCTTTTTTTTTTTTTTCGAAAACCACAGCTAAGACACCGCCTCTCCAACGCACTCATGTATGCACACAACCAAACCAACATAACTTTCTCCTCCGCAAAAGCTGCTTCACCGCTAAAGAGGAGAGAGCACCTTTCATGTTGCTCCAAGCGGACAAAACACTCTGTGTGAAAAGTCCCCATACGAGGAAAATAAGTCACATGCAAGTGCGGCTCTGAGTGATCTTTATTAGTGTTATTTTATATTTTGCACCTTTAAAATAATACTGATACCTCAGTTTATGTATAATGTCCTTTAAAATGTAGCTGCATTCATCTGCAAGTGAAATTACGTGTTGCAAGTGATGTTAATAATCTCTCACTAAATAGATATTAGGTAACAAACCATTGCACTCAACAGAGTCAGACATTCCACCCCAAAACACCAACCCACTAATAAAGGAGACACCTGAAAGTTAAGCTCCTAGCAAACGAGACCCTTTACTGCACCAATGGTTCTAGTTTTTCAGGAACAACATCTCACTCTTAAAAACTTTTGGGACGTATTTACAGTCTTCAAAACCAGTAATAACTTGGCCTAGTTTGGGCCATCTTGTGACAATCGTAGGCAAATGGAGAGGAAGTTATAGAGACTGACAAAATATGCAAGTCTTTGTTAGATGCTGTTTACTCAGTTGTTCCTATAACTTTAAATACCTGCTTAGGCCTAGGGACAGACTTCTTTTTATTTTTACCTTGAAGCAAAAACACCTTGCCCAGGTTAGTCAGGGCTACTCACTTATTAAATCTTACTAGGAAGAGAAAATTAAAATAAAAGATAAAAGTCGCATGACTTAATTGGAATGAAGATATTAAATCAACTCAACCACATCTCGGTCAGCTTTGAGCCACTCGCAGCGTGCTTGGGACCACGGGCACCCCTGCTCACTACGGCCTTTCCTTCTTCTCCCTCCTCCCCCTTCTCCTCCTCCCCCTTCTCCTCCTCCTCGCCGGCCTCCGCGGGCGCGCGATGGGGCGCGGAGGGGCAGCCTGCCTGCCCTGGAGTGCTTGGGGACAGGCAGGCAC